AAGAGTAACTTCTGCTCATGTGTTTTCAGACTTCTTTCACCTCTCAAGAACAAAAATATTTTTGTTGTAGGCAGACTGGGATTTATGGCATTTACGCAATTTAGAGTGTAGAGTTTAAAGTTAATTTATTAGTTTTTTTTTTTTAAAGAAATAATGTATGGTCAAAAAGTCTGCATTTGTTTAATACAGGAAAAACCTAAATATTGTGTAATAAAAGTAAAATAAAATGCATATAAAATTAAGTTTATAGATTTAAAAAATAGCAATACATTTTAATATATTTAAAAGATTATTAATCTAATTTCTTTAGTCGTTCAATGTCAAACAATCTGAAATCATTCCAATATTCTCCTGTTTAGTGCCCATAAAAATAAAAACGTTCAAATGATGTTGATATGAAATCTTAACATTTTGTAATACTATTACAAATGGCTTTACTGACACATTTGATGCATTTTATGCATTATTTTAGAATAAAAGCATTAATATGTTAAAGGAATTATTAATTGTAATGACTATTTTTAGCAGTTGTGTATACACTTTCCGGCCACTTTATTAGGTACACCTCACTAGTACCGAGTTTGACCCTCTTTTGCCTTCAGAACTGCCTTAATCCATTTGATTCATCAAGATACTAGAAATATTCCTCATAGATTTTGGTCCATATTGACATGCAGTGGCTGCAGATTTGTTGGCTGCTCATCCATGATGCGAATTTTCCATTCCACCACATCCCAAAGGTGCTCTATTGGATTGATCTCTGGTGACTGTGGAAGCCATTTGAGTACAGTGAACTCATTGTCATGCTCAAGAAACCAGTCTGAGATCATTTGCACTTTATGACATGGCGCGTTATCCTGCTGGAAGTAGTAGCCATCAGAAAATGAGCACACTGTGGTGTGCACAACAATACCCAAGTAGGCTGTGGCATTGACACAATGCTTAAACGGTATAAATGGGCCCAAAGTGTGCCATGAAAATATCCCTCCACACCATTACACCACCACTAGCAGCCTGAACTGTTGATACAAGGCAGGATGGATCAATGCTTTCATGTTGTTGACGCCGAATTCTGACCCGACCATCCGAATGTTGCAGCAGAAATTGAGATACATAAGACCAGGCAACGTTTTACTAATTTTCTATTGTCCAATGTTGGTGAGCCTGTACAAATCGTAGCCTCAGTTTCCTGTTCTTAGCTGACAGGAGTGGGACCCGGTGTGGTCATCTGTTGCTGTAGCCCATCCACTTCAAGGTTGGAAATGTTGTGCCTTCAGAGATGCTGTTCTGCATACCTCGGTTGTAACGAGTGGTTATTTGAGTTACTGTTGCCTTTCTATCAGCTCGAACTAGTCTGGCCATTCTCCTCTGGCCTCTGGCATCAACACGTTCAAAGTCACTTAAATCACCTTTCTTCCCCATTCTGACGCTCGGTTTGAACTGCAGCAGATCGTCTTGACCATGTCTACATGCCTAAATGCATTGAGTTGCTGCCATGTGATGGAAATTTCTGTTAACGAGCAGTTGGACAGGTGTACCTAATAAAGTGGCCGGGGAGTGTATATCCATGTACGGACTAATGGGTCGCTTTAACATGATATTATGAAGTTAACATGCTGCTTGTAAATAAACAACTGGCACATTATTATATAATGTTTATTTTATTCTTTTAACATTATCTTGATAAAATAAAATGCATAATGATGTGCTCATTATTCATTTCATAGAGGTCTCTTGTGGTCCCATTGGGGTCCCTGTACCCGAATATTTAAAAAAAACTGACCTAAAACTTTTGGGGTAACAGAATTACGTGGCTGTGAAAAGTCACTAATCTAAAACTGCTTTACATTAGATCTGTTCTTCTGTGAGAGTAGCCAGATTCATTCAAGTATAATGACTTGATCCCAGAATCAGTATATAGGAAGTAGGAATTCTCTCATTAAAGCAGAGCATGTGACAGGACAATGTTTAAATCCACAGACTAGCACACTGGGCTCTCTCCCGCTGTCATATAGCTCCTGTCTGGGCTTGCAGACTGCAGAGGCCCCTCGTTCTGAAACGGTTTTGTGGCTCCAACATGCAGCCCCAGAGCGATCCCTGTCCCACTGAGCTCATAATGACCAGAGGTGTCCATGCATGAAAACAACACAGATGTATAGCAGTAACTATAGCTGCAGGTCAGGAGCTAAACAATACGTTAGATGTGGTGCTGTAAGACATTTCACTGTTTTGTTTTTATAAATACACCAAAGGGTTTTAGGATTTATGGAACGTGATACAGACTTGTGGTCTGAGCATAAACGTGCACAGTGGGGATTCTGCTTGTGAAAATAAGCATGCATGCCTCCATCACTCAGCAAGGTTTATAATGCAGCTCGTCTTTCATCTGAGAGAAGTTTAAAACCTCTGGGCTCAATCCATGAGGGACAAAAGTAGCATTTTAAGTAGGGCTTTATAAAATATGTATAGATTTTCACAATTTTATTTGAATAATGAAATTATTTCAAATAATTTTCTTCTGTCCTTTTTGTTTTTAAGTACATTTTAATCACTAATATAAACTGTACTAATTAAAAACATGCGCAATTATGGAAATTATGAAACTCCATTTCAAGTTAAAAAAAGGTATAATAATAATTTAATAATAATAATAATTATATATATATATATATATATATATATATATATATATATATATATATATATATATATATATATATATATATATTTTTTTTTTTGGATTGCTATTAAATGTTTACAACATGTTTAAACCTGTAAAAATCAAAACTTATCATGGAAGAATGTTTGCATAATTATTCCTTAAAATGTATGTCTTGTAGTATTAAATTATTATTGTTATAAAGTCACTAATGCAGTGTATTGTGAATTGTTCTGCCAAAGACAAGTAACAAGAGCCTCGAAATTTGATGATATCTTTGTCTGTAAGGCTTATGCACTTAAACGAACCCAGATAGGGGTGCCATCACTGTCACAATATCAAATATCCCAGTTGTTTTGCCGTTGTGGTCCAAGTGTAGCAGTTGTGGTGGGTATCGTACCTAATCCACAACTAGTCAAACATTCAGATTGTGCTTGTGTCTTTTCAGAACAGCAGGATTCTAAGGGAGTAACAGTGCATGTATTCATGCCAAACGTTTTCAATGCAGGTTACATGTACTGAAGAAATACTGTGTTGCTTTCACCACAGAAAGAACAGAGAATAATTTGAAACTTTTAGATTTATAAAGCGTGATTCAAAAATAGGATCATTTTTCAAATCCATTCAACATGCTTCTGATTTGAATGTAATATCTTTACAATTCTGTCTGTTTTATCAGGAAATTCAATCAATAAATCGTTTAATGTGGAGTGACAGATCACTGAATAGGGAAACAACCCAGTAGGCATACAACAGCATAAGAAGTTAATATTAGGTTTAATATTAGGTTCAATTTGATTTTGGTAGTGTTGTCAGGTGATCAAAATTTTATGTCTAATCAGCATCTAAGCACAACGTTATTTTGAAGTCCAATAACGACGTTGATATTGTTGATTTTAGGTTGTGTTGGAATGTGACCAAAATCAAATGTCGAGCTAACATCTTAAAGTCATATTGACATCAAATACTGAACCTGCGTCCCAAATGGCACACTACACATTATGCACTTATTTACTATTCAGTTATGCACTTACACTCTTAAAAGCATAGTATACTGTATGTACAGTATGTAGTGTCATCCCAAATGGAACAGTTTACTTTTTGCTATGAGTATAACCCCATTCACCATCAGGAGGCGGTATAATCAATCTCATAGGAGAATTTTGCTTTCATAATCTAAAATAAATAATCCAACATGAGCAAAGCTGCAGTCGATGAGTGTGTAAAGTGTCCAACATTCCACACTTCATTTTCCTGTTTGAATAAGTGCATCATCCAGGTAATTAAAGTGCGCTTACTATTTTTAGAGTTTTCAGTGTGAATGTACTTACACTATTTATATTCCAAAAGGGCGTAGAATAGTGCATAAGTATGCGATTTGGGCGCACTGTGATATTTATTCTTCAAGTATAGCAACCAAAATCCAACGTCTGATAGACATCATAGTGGTAGCGTCCACACAAAGTCTGGTAACTAAAAGCTGTAACATGATTAGATGTTGATATTTGGTTGATTTTAGGTTGGATGTTGGACATTGACATCAGACTGACATTTGGTTTTGACGTCAACCCGAGTTTCATTTCCAAACAAAATGCAACGTCCTCATGACATTGGGGCACAACATCTATTTGACATCATGCTGACATCAATCTGACATCAAGAGTCAAATCCAATCCAATTCCAATCATTCCTTGGCCTCTACTACTAGTTATAGCATGAATAAAAATATAAACATCTAAGGTTTTATGAAACTGCACTACATTTACCTGGACTACTTTGGTGTCAACAGATTAGGAATTAAGAGCATTTCTCTAAATATATGCACTAAATTACCTTAAACGTCCATAAAATTTTAGTAAATCAGACATAAAAAGAAGTCACTTTGTAATTTTATAATTCCAACAATGAACTGGAGTAGAAATAAACCTTGATATTAATACGAAAACTGTCTAATCCTAATTTATTGATGTTGTTTATCGTAATAATCCTATTTAGAAGGGAAAATAAAACTGTAACAACATTTATTTAAAGAGAACATCTAAAGATTGTGTCCAGTAAATCCATGTTAATGAAAGAGTTTATGTTTTATTTTCTATTGTAGTGAAATACAATAGCATACCAAACTGTGTCTTCAAATCTTGTGTACATACTCAACAATAATTTTTATAAACTATTACAACCTTATGACATTCTGATCTGGGTCCTTTGGTTTACCACTCTGTTTAAATACAAAGGATTATTGGAGTAATGCACCGGATACCTGTATGAAGTGAAAATTCAAAAAGACATGGGTGGTCTTTTAATGAGCATTTATGAGTGTTTGGGGTTCTGTTCTGTACAGGATCATTCAGTCCCCCAGGCAGATGAATCTGGAGAGAGTCAGATACGTGATAAGAGAAGCACTGCGGGCCTGGAGTGATGAAACTCCTCTAAACTTTACTGAAGTCCTCAGCGGCCGGGCTGATATCATGTTTGATTTTTACAGGTAATAAAATAAGATGTTTTACTCTCTGAGATTTACTTTACATGTGTCAGAATTGATGATGAAATGTTTTCAAGCTGGTCAGGGGTTTCTTGCTTTTTTTTTATTTCATCAGTATTATCATCTACTGTAATTGGCTAATGCATCAAAACATTCTGAATGATATATAGGCAACTTTCAACTTCATTTCTAAAATTTGGAGGTTGCTTTCAGATAAATTACATTTCTTAATGAACAATTTTAGGGCTATTGTTCAGTCTGCAGTGTTACATTCAGATTTTTTTCTGATATGATTATTAATTTAGTATGATCAAGAAACACTTCTTAACATCAACTTAATACTTTGTGATACTTGACTCTTTGATAAATAGAAAAATCAAACAGTTCATTAACAAATTATATATTCTGTATATTTTGTCATTTATTGTCACTTTCATTTTAAAATATTAAAACAATCTGATTTGTATTGCTGTATAGTCTCTTTAATATTGTAAATGTGAAGTATCATCACACTGCAGTAAAAAACAGAACATGTTCAGCTACTTCTTCGCTCAAGTCCACTGGACTAATATTTTATTACATTATATTATTTCTCCGGCCTCTCAGATTGTAAAACCAAATTGTCAACTATGAGATGTGTGAGCATTTAAACAAAGAAAACAATTTCTTTGGTTCTCAAACACAGACGTTTTTCATCTCCTCCTGAAGCAGGAGATTAGAGAGGGTGTCGTTTAGGATTATAGGTGGAAATTTACACTGCACATTCATTCATGCAGGTGTGTTACTTAAATTCCCATAGTAAAAAGCAGAACACCTGCATAGTTCAGCATATGGTCACGCAACACTGCGGCTCAAAATCCCAAAGTTTATTTCTTTTTGTGAAATATAACCTGGATGTTGGAAAGCGTGACTTTTGTTGTGTAGACTTCTGACTGCTGTTGAAGTTTTTCCTCAATCACAACACTCGAGGCACGCGTTCTCCAAGCTGTTCATTAAGAAATTCGAAATGCAAATCTTTCATGTTTTGATATTTTTTGATAAGGAATTTTATTGTTGTCAGGTAATTAGTTGTATTTCAAAATTTAAAAAATATATTGTTTGGCGCTTTATAATGCGGTGATTCTGAGCTGACGTGAGTCACGCGATGATAAGCGTATTTCAGGTAAACTTACTGATACATTTAAAACCAATTAAGATGACCGAATATAATCAGAGATGTACAAAAATAAAGTACAACTTACCAAAATGTATGTTGTGTAAGCGCCAAATACGTGTTTCAGCCGCAAAATAAGCTACGTCAGTAGAACAACATGTCACATGATATTACCTCATCGGAAACTTTGATTAAAGGCCTATTTGGGGTAAGGTATAATAAAATAAATTTAAATTACAGAATACCATTAAGACTAGACCTATTTGCATAGGTATATTGTAAATGTATTGAAGTTTTGCCAAATTGTATAAGACTGATTTGAGGTATCTCAAAATGTAATGTTTATAAAAGCCCCCATTTAGATTGTTAAATTTTGATATGATAACAATAATAATAATATAGAATGAAATATTTAAATTAAATACATAACTTAAAATTATGAAGCACAGCTGGGGACTTGCTTGCAAAAAGGGAGTCATGCACTGTGAAAAAGCTTTCTTTCATCTAAAAAAATACAAATAAAAAATTGGGTAATGGTTCACATCTAAATGACCCAATAAAAAATAAATAATTTACCTTAAACAACATATTCTATCTCCATGAGAACAATTTTATATAACCTGGTACAAATCATATTTGTCCTGTTGAGGATTATATTATATTTTTGTTCTAAACAAGAAGATATAGCTTTAATCAAAACAACATTTCCCATGAAATGTTCATTCATCCAATTAAACAAATTTAGGGTAATGGTTTCACATCTAAATTAGAAAAATAAATTATTCGCATTAAACAATATTTTTTAAGTACAATAAAGTACAAAGCATATTGAGTTTGGTCAAAATAAATATTTCTCAGTTGAGCTCTTAATCAAAATCGTTCATATTTAACCATGTTTTGATCTTAAAATATTCATTCATTCTTTTTCTTGTCGGCTTAGTCCCTTTATTAATCCGGGGTCGCCACAGCGGAATGAACCGCCAACACATATCCAACACATTTTTACGCAGCGGATGCCCTTCCAGCTGCAACCCATCTCTGGGGAACGACTTAAATTATATTACTTGAAAATAAAACAAATAATATTAAAATGAAATGAAAGTTACATTTTTAAATGGAGAAAGTACTACTTGAGAAATTTTTAGCATGTTTTACAGCATTCTAAACACCAGACCAATATAAATGTCATGTCTCTTTCTATGGGACATTTTGTTTTACTTAGGATCTTTTCCTGCAGTGCTTTATTTTCTCTGAAAATTAAAGTTCCTTAAAATTTGGCTTCCTGTTAAAGCCCAAATGTACATTTATTATGTTTCTGAAAAATGCATGTTTGAAGATATAATGAGGGATGTCAGATTCTACAGATTTCACCAATGGCATTGCAGTGAACTAAACATTTGTGGCTTTGTTTAAGCCACATTATTGGCCTTCTTTGACCTTTCAGGTCTGCCAAACGTAAGATCTATGATCCTGCAAGTCTTGTGTGTAATTTTACCCCATTTGCAATTTTCGCAGTGGAAAATTAGGGGAGCATGTGGCTTGTACCATTCAGCCCCTTATTGGACTTTGCCATTTTATAATTGAGCTGTAAAATCAAAGGCATCTTAAAAAACGCTGTGTTTTGACAGCTACAGTACTAAAATACATTGCATTTGTATGGTAGTCACAGCGGTCTCTCATAAGCTCATTATTCTCAACAATTCATTCAATGCAATGAAGTAGTCTTATAGAATTAATTTTAGTGATCAACTCATTAAAGGAATAAGAACTGCTGTTATTGTGCTTTTGTCTAAGAGACTGTGTTTCACATTCAGGTATTCACATGGGGACTACCTTAATTTTGATGGACCAGGAGGAATTCTGGCACATGCCTTTTTCCCCAGAACATACCGGGAGGGAGAAATTCACTTTGACATGGATGAGTCTTGGACATTAGGCAACAGTATGGGTGAGTAAGAGTCCTGGTTTATCTCATACCATGAATGAGACAATACATGACTTAAACAAAATGAAAACATGAAAAAAACAAGCAGCATTTGGCACATCAACAGAGATTGAACAAAACGGCATGCTTCTAGCAGAACAAAATTGTAGCTAAAGATACATCTCAGTAGCTGCGTCCCAAATGGCACACTATACACTATGCACTCATGCACTATGTACTTATACACTTACACACTCAACAGGATAGTACATGTATGTAGTGTCGTCCCAAATGGCACACTAATGGTTTTTACTAAGCGGAAATTCAAACCGTTTCCCTAATGACGTTTGACGGTTGCCAAATAAGTGAAATAAACGACCGAATTATCAAATATTACCTGCCGTCAGTATAACCGCATTCACCATCGGGAGGCGCTATAATCACTCTCGTAGGAGAATTTTGCTTTCACCATCCAAAATAAATAAAGTTACTCAACATGTGCACTCGATAGCCCCGCCCCTTCCGCTACGTAAGGAAACCTGCGGTCGTTGAGTGCGTGAAGTGTCCATCATTCCACACTTCATTTTAGCGGCTGAATGAGTGCATCATCTGGGTAATTAAAGTGCTCTTATTATTTTTAAAGTTTTCAGTATGAACGCACTACTTACACTATTTATACTACAAAATGGTGTAGAATAGTGCATAAGTATGCGATTTGGGACGCATGCTGCATTTGGGATGCAGGTTGATCTATACTGTATGTTGAGTAGTTTTAGTTACCTGAGATCTGTATCCTAAGGAAGGATGAGACAACTCAGCAACTCGTTGTGAGAATGGAGATGCATATTTGTGACAGTCTGTCAGATAAATATGCCTAAAACACTTTAATATTTTAGAAAAGGTAGTTAAAGTTTGCATAACGAATGATTGATCTTATCTACCCTAGATCCACCCATAAGTAAATATGCAGCCTATATTTTGATTACCTGACCGGCGCATTAATGTCAGCACCCGTTGATATAATTGAGAAATGATGTGCTCCTGTTGCACAGTGTCACCCACATGATGGAAATCGTTGTAAAAAACGAGAAAATATTCAACATGCTAGACTTTCTGTGATGGAGTCATGATGCGTCGCAGACATTGTTCAGTTGTCATAACCTATGCCATATTAGACAAGAAGAAAAGATTGGCTCTTGTGTCACGACACCCTTCGTCAAGGAAATCGTGCCGAAATCGTGAAAAATTTGTGTGATCTGACTGGGGCTCTGGTCTACCTAAGTTTTTGCAACGTCCCAACTCGTATACTTATACTAAACCCTAAAAGTATGTACTTTTTTGTGTGAAGGAATTTTTTTTTTTACTTTTGTTTAACAGAATGGTATGCAATCTTTGGGACATACTTCTTCCTCGATAACAGATTGTTGTGTTGCTGAGTTATGAGCCCTGTCAATCATCCACTTATCATCCACATTTCTGTCATATTTAATTTCCTACCTTATTGGAGAAGCAGTAGCAGGTTTATCTCCCATTCATGAGTATTTCATGTAGGCAAATCTCCTCAGTTCTGGATAATTATGCATTCAGGCCTTAATGTCCAAACACGTCTTTTAAGTTCAGTATTGTGGTTGCAGATTAAATATAACACAAAAAAATGTGATTTAAATATTTTATGGGTGGCATTGCGCATTCATCATGTTTGTAGTTTATTTTCCCGCGTTGTTCACTCGCGTTTGTAATTCAAATTTTTTATTTTTTTTACCAGAAATAGTAAACCATCCGGGAACCTTTGAACATACTATGATCAGGGACTAATTTTGTTTTAAAATTCTATTTAGGACGGATAGTATGCGAATTGGGATGCAGCATGTCTTGTAATCAATATCATGGTAACAAGATTGCTATTGTTATGAATATGCTTACAGTGTGTTCATATGAACAAACAATTGGTAGAATAGAACATGCTGTTGTAGGGTTTTGTTCCTGAATGAATCAGTGTTTTTGAATGAATCATTTGATTGAATGGTTCAAGGCTCAGCAAACTTTCACATGACTTCAATTGAATAAAAGTATTTTGTGCATTTTTGATATTTTAAAGTTGCATATACATCAATATAACAAGAAAATTTGAAATGCTGCATTATTCATGCCAGGCCAAGTATTTGGTGATGTCACTTTGAGAAGAAGCAGTTCTGTAGTTCACGATTGTTTGTTGTGGTTGTAGTCCACGATTCTCAGTCATTGATCCGGTCACTCTTATCCTACCTGAATAGATCAGTGATTTGGATGAATTGGTTCAGAGAATGATCAAAGAATTTAGCCTGTTTTTCATTCTGCAGTCCTTATACCTATGCACTAATCCTTTCAAGTGCTTACTTTACAGAGTGAAAGCTTCAAAGGGTGCAGGGGAACAAATAAAAGTGTTACTTGAAACACATTTCTCTGTAATCTGTCACAAAATAAACATGTGCAAAGAATCATGGGAGCAAAAAGGTGAAGTTTTGAGGACTTTGATTTGAAACAAGGCTTCAATATGGAAGCTGTTATAGTTCTCACTCTGAAGCGCTCTTTGTAGGCGGATTTATTCCATTTGGAACACATGCTCATAAAACTCGGTCAATACCATCTTGCTAATTTTTATTCCAAACGAATGGGTTTCGACAGAAACACACTTGCACGCTGTAATTATTAGGCATTATATGCAATTTTAAAACTTTTCAAAAATATTTCATTTCTTCACTAGGTACTGACCTCCTCCAGGTAGCAACTCATGAAATTGGCCACGTTCTAGGACTCCAGCATTCTAAAGTACCAGGTGCAGTGATGGCACCTTTCTACACCTTCTCCAACCCTGTCCGACTAAGTGAAGATGACAAACGAGGCATACAGGCCTTGTATGGATCCAAACGTTCAGATGAAACAGTAAAGGCGGCAGAGAGACGACCCACATTCACAGAAAGAAATGAGATTGACGCAACATTTGTGAGTGAAACTGACTCTCCTTGGTCTTTGAAATTGGTTTCTTGGATTTCATGCTGATTTATTTTCTTCTTCTCAGTTTCCACCTGTCCACCCAAATCCTTCTCATCCCGATGCTTGCCAGACCAACTTCGATGCTGTATCCATGATCCGAGGCGAGCTGTTTTTCTTTAAGTCGGGTTATGTGTGGCGGATCCGTGATGGTAAACTCCAGGCGGGATATCCTGCACTGGCATCAAGACACTGGAGAGGAATTCCAGACAACATTGATGCTGCTTTTGAGGACATGTCTGGGAATATATGGTTTTTCCAAGGTAAGCTGTCCCAAATGAAGACACTGCCATTTAAAAGTTTTGGGTTAGTAGGAAATATTTTAAAACCCACTTTATATTAGGTGTCTTTACACTTAAATTAATCAGTTGGTACAATGTACTTGTGTCTTTACATTGTACTTATGACTGATTAAATGCATGCATGTGATTACAATGCATACAATGTAATATGTTTCTGTACATTTGTAAGTACACTGTTGACAATCCCTTACATCTTAACCCACACTTAAACCTACCCAGTCCCCCAAACCTGTCCCCAAGCCTGCTCGTATTTCAACTCAAGGGCACCAGAAGTATTCTGCAATGCATTATAAACACAGTGAGTACGTTGTATTTATTTTTTGATGCAAGTACATAGTAGTAAAGGCCACCTAGTATAAAGTGGGACCAACATTTTACTGTTATGCTACAAACCATGAAGAAATTGCTGTGAGATCTGTTAGTGTGATGCCATGCCAGATTACTCGAGAAACATTTCATTACCACGAAAAGTCTGGGAATAGCCCTGCCAAAGAATTTTGCAAGTATTTTAATGAAGATGATACCAGAGAAAGAGATAAACGGAGGTGGAGTACAAGGAAGTTAGCTTGCTATTTGTTTTGGTTTGATTTCTGTTGAAACTTCAATTATATAATCTCTTGTCATAACCATGCAAACATATAACTTGCATGGAAAAATTTAGATCTGCAAAAGCATGCAAATGTTATAGAAATATATAGAATCCTGCAATAACAACAGAGCGTCTGTCACCAAAGTCTTGTATATTTATAATCCAGAAGTCTTTCAGTGACCTAATGTCACCCGCTTTGAATGTTATCATCAGATAGAATGGGCGTTATCAGTGGTTATCAGCCACAGAAGACTGTTATCAACCATCCACATGGTTAATCAGCTATACTAATAGATAAGACTCCAGATCCAGATCGGTTTTTACATTACTGTTTTAACATTACTGTGCAGGTTGGGTTTAGGTTTGGGGTAGACATTAATAAAAATACAATTAATGAGAAATTTTATAAATAAATAAGTCACAAAAAGCCCCTACTGGCCAATATCTATCAGCTGATAACCACAAATAATGCCAATTCAATCGAGTGATAACATTCAATTAAGATGCTAATGATCTGACAAACTGCCTTCTTGTAGCCTTGGACTAGTACACTAAACCATGGGCTCATTATGAATGGAAAATCCCTAAACCGTTATTTAATCTACCCACTTTTCCCCATCTAGGCCAGAATTACTGGGTGTTTGATGCAGAGCGGCAGATCACAGGGCCAGACTCTGTACAGCGACTGGGACTATTGGTGAACGACATCCAGGCAGCCCTCATGTGGGGAGATACCAAGGCCCAGAAGATTTACTTCTTCAAGAAAGGAAGCTACTGGCGATTCAACCTGAAGGAAAACCGTGTAGAGTCGATGCACCCTCGCAGCATGAGCGACTGGAGGGGGATACCTAGTGATATAGACGCTGCCTTCCAAGATCGATTCGGTATGTTTATCACTGAAATTGTTACCAAATAATTGCATGGATTGTCTCATGTTTAAATGCACAGAAGAACTGCTAATGGGAATCTTCACAACACAATAATTTGTTCCTAAAAGATGTTTGCCCAAAAATAATAGTTCTGTTATTAATTACTCATCATCATATCATTGCAATCCCCGAGAACTTCCTTCATTCATTTGGGAACACAAATTAAGAGACTTTAGATGCAATCTGAGACCTCTCTAATCCTCCATAGACAGCAAGGGTCATGGGAAGTTTAAAGCACAGAAAAGGAACCATAAACAACGTCAAAATATTCCATGTGTCTTCAGCACTTCAATTGTAATCATATAAAGCTCCTTTTGTCACTTTTGTGCCAAAACAAATGTATAATGTGCTGACTCTGATTATAATACTTCGTAAACACATTTTGATGACCTGACGAGGAAAAGAAAAACTGTAAACAAAGAAACAAAGCATAAAGAAAGCTGTTTCTCTATATGCTTCATTCTATATTGAACCTAAAAGTGTACTTTATGACTGATAGCAGTTTCTTGATAAAATGAAAGCTACGGAGCAACATGATGTCAACTGTTCCTATTCACACTAATGATATTTACAGGGACATTCCATAAATAAATAAGGGATTATTTTCATGCAGTACTTCGCACAACACTAAATTAGCAAAAAATGTAGACAGCGCCCTCTAGTGGATTTTCATCAGAAATGTGCAACAAAAGGTATTGTGTTAAAATCCCAAAATGCAAGTCGGTGGTCTACCTGCACTTTGAGAGTCAAATAACAGATAGAAGCAAAAATAAATGATATATCAGTAGCTCCTAATTATATATTGTGGTCTCCAAGTAAAACTTTTTGTCTTTGCGAGAAACTAAACACAATATTCAAAAAGTGTCAGAGACACTGCACTCAGTGCCATTGAGGTTGTAGATCAATAGTAATAATTGTAAATAATATTCATCTGCTTGTGTAGCGGAGGCCAGCTAGCGAAGTGCTGTGCAGTTAAACCTCACTCCTCTGATCTCTAAAGACAGCTGTTAGAGGCCATGGTCTTTATCCTCCTTGGTGGAGCAATCGACTCCCATGCAGAAAGTCGGCGGTTTGATCCCAGCTCAGAGCGGGTTGGGAGGTGTAGGACTGGTGGGGTTACATTGGTGCCGTGACCCGGATGGGAGTGATGTTTAGGGGGGTGTGGCAGAGGCCAGCTAGTGAAGTGCTATGCAGGTAAACCTCACTCCTCTGACTTCTAAGGCCCAATCCAAATTCTATTTTTGTCGTAAAAATTCATAATAATGACAAAGAATACTAATTTGTGGATCTCCCTACTTCCGGGTTCAGCAATACTGCAGTTGTGGCTGGTGTATTCTGGGAAATTTTCTTACCTCTTGGTTTCTTACCGAGTGTGGTCCTGAAAAATCTTCGGTCAAAGAGGTATTCACCCCTTCCCCTTAGCCCTATACCTTCAAGCTAAAGAAAATTGGGACACCCCTACCCCTTGGCATGAACGCGCAAAGTGAGGGGTAGGAGTAAAGGGAAGGGCTAGGGGGTAGAATTGGGCCTAAGTGTGCTCTAGTGACAGACGCTCAAGGCCATGGTCTTTAGTCTCCTTGGTAGAGCAACCTACTCCCATGCGGAAAGTCGCCGGTTTGATACCAGTTTAGAACGGGTTGGGTGGTGTAGAACAGGCGGGTTTACACTTGCATAGACTGATCATTTCACTTCATGAAACCTCAATTTATTGTCAGGGACCATGTGTATTCATTTTATTTGGCCTTAATATGTTTGTTTGAGTACTGTTAGTTAGCCATTGTAATACAATTTTCTGAAATACCAAGGATCCCGGCTTCTTTAATGATGTTTAGGAGGAAAAACATTACCTACATTAGGAAAGTACAATTAGCGAGACTCAAACACTAATAACCCAAGGATTAATTTTAAAACTGCAAACGTTATTTTCATTGAGAGAATTTTAAAAAGTAACTTTGTTTCTCATTTCTCCACAGGTTTCGCCCACTTCTTAAGAGGGAAGCAGTACTGGAAGTTTGACCCAGTGGAGGTGAGGGTGCTGGAGGGATACCCACGATACATCGGCGTGGATTTCTTTGGTTGTTCTGCAGCCTTGTATCGATAAATCCTGGGTCCAATTAGATGTAATGTCTACCAATGATCATTTTAATGCACATACTGCAAGTAGCGCCACAGACAGTGTGAACCATTCAATGTTAAGTATGGATATTTCAGCAGGGTTATTTGTTTTATCAGGTAAAGTGTCAGATGCAAAAGAATCTGACCACTGGAATAAACACAAATCTGTGGCTTAAGCAGATTCTGTGTATCTACTCAATCTGTGACTTGTATGAGATCTGCGCCACTACACCATATGCAGAATCTGAAATTAATTATTCCTAGATGTTCTGTTATGCAACTAAATACTCTCATCTCTCAGGTAAAGCAGGAAATTTTGGTCTCAAAATATTTTTCGTACGCATTGTGTACTTGATTATTTATTATTTGTATATTTTGGCAGTATTGATAGTGTTAGGAAGACATAACAGTGGTTCTTTTTGAGAAACGCCATTTTAGATTACATTACAACATTATATAAATTATTTTGCTAAATTGTAGCATGCTGTTGGCTGCCACAGATTATTTGGTTTTTAATATCAAGCAGAAACTGCATTACTCAGAATGTCATTCTTAAAAATAAACATTCTGTCATCATTTTGTGTCCTTTCAAACTCATCCTAATATTTAAAGTTGAAGTCAGAATTATTGGACCCCCTTTGAATTTTTTTATCTTTTTAAAATATTTTTAAATGATGTTTAACAGAGCAAGTACATTTTCACAGTATATCTGATAATATTTTTTTTTTCTTCTGGCGAAATCCTTATTTGTTTGATTTCGACTAGAATAAAAGCAGTTTTACATTTTTAAACACCATTTTAAGGACAAAATTATTAGCCTCTTTAGGCTATTTTTTTCTATAGTCCACAGAACAAACCATCCTTATACAATAACTTGCCTAATTACTCTAACCTCCCTAGTTAACCTAATTAACCTAGTTAAGCCTTTAAATGTCACTTTAAGCTGAATAGAAGTGTCTTGAAAAATATCTAGTACAATATTATTTACTGTCATCATGACAAAGATAAAGTAAATCAGTTATTAGAAATGAGTTATTAAAACTATTATGTTTAGAAATGTGTTGAAAAAGTCTTCTCTCCGTCAAACAGAAAACGAGGAAAAAAATAAACAGGGGGGCTAATAATTCAGGGGGGCTTATGATTCTGACTTCAACTTTACAAGTTTTGTGTAAAGACTTTCCGTGGAGGATAAGAATTCTCTCATATTTAATTAAATTTATCTTCACTTTGTAGTTTATTAGCTGATTTGAGAATGAATGAAATTGGGTTAAAAATGAGATGAGGGTGAGAAAATGATGACAGAGTTTTCATTTTGTGGTAAAATACGCCTTTAAGGGTTTAAACAAAACATGTAAAGCTCAAAGATTTTATTTAAGTTCATGCTAATATTACTTAAGCTTTAAACGTATCTAAATTGTCCCTTTAGTTAGGTGGAAGAACTGGTAAGATTACAGATAGTGGCCCAAAACACCCATATTAACACTGAAAACACTGAAATATATTTCAGTCTCACTTCAGAGGTGCTTTCAGTACAAATATAAATGATAATAAAATTAAAATGTCTTACCATCTATAAGGCATTCTCAGAGCAATGTCAAAGTAGCCACTGGACTTTGTTGCACCATAGCTGAGCATTTTAGAATATTGTTTGTTAATGCATTGAAGGACCTGAACTGTACAGAGTAGAACTGTGACTGATTTCAGCATGTTCACACTGAACATTTCATTCATCATCATTAATGTGACATAAGTGACCTTAGTCAGTGTGAACGTCCATTTAAGTCTGTAAAGGGCTTATGAAGACCTGTTTTTCAATAGTGATAATGTATATGTCGCAGTGCAGGTCACTGATGCTGTTATTCACGTCTTAAATAATTTTACTTTTTGCATACTGATGAATATAATCCTTATGGTCAGATAATGATGTATTTTGATCTGAGGAAACTGTATACTTTTAATTCACTGTTATTATAATGTTTCTCATGTAATCAGTTCTGTTCGTTCACATGTTGCTCCTTTTACTGTGTAAATATTTTGTAAAAATAATTGTATTATATTTTCACCTCCAATAAAAAGGCTCTCTTTGTTTATTGTGTACTGTCTAATCATCTGTTGTTTAAAATTATTTCCAAAATAATCAAGACAGATTTTTATCATATTATAAAATAATACAAATTTCAGCACACAGCTACTTTACATTAGTTTCCCTCAAAAGTGGCACATAGTAGCATTTGTGTGTTTATTCACTTTTATTATGTCTAAAAATGGATTTTGGTGTAAATTAATAGGTTCAAACTCAATTCCTGGAGGTTCACAGCACTGCATATAGTTTAGCTCCAGCCAGCTCCAACTCACACATGCTCAAAGAGCCCATATTATGGGTTTTTGAAAATTCCCCTCCATGTAGTGTGTAACATAGCTCTAAGTGAAGTGAAGTATCCAGCTAAGGCTTAAATCTGTAAGAATACAGTGTTTAAAACTGTTGATTCATCTATAAAAGAGTCGACTCATAGTGCTTCAAACGAGTCGCCTTAAAACCGATTCATAAGGTGTTTCGCCATGACGTACGAACGAAACCAAGTTATTCACGTGCACGCGCAAACCCGGGAGATTTCAAACCTGAGGCCCCGCCCTCTGACGCAGAAACCCAGACACACACGCACACCCACAAACACACGCACACCCACAAACACACGCACACAAACATGCTGGTCGATTGAAGTCACACTGCAGATGGATATTATATTGAGTCTCTACCCAAAGATGAAACATCAGCATTATAACCAAGCAGTTGGAAACTTCTGGAAGCTACATGCTACAAAGAATACTTCATCTGAGTTTGTTAAAGGAAGGATCAGTAAAGAGTAACTGATGGACGTCAGGATGGGTTTCTTCCATTTCTCAAGTGTAAGTACATGCGGTTAAAGTTGTTGCCTCGTTTACTCTAGCTTGCAAATGTATTTAGTTGTGATTTGTTACTTGTAACCGCGTGTACTGTATCAGGTTAACTGGCTATATTCTCTTATTGCGTGCAAAGTCACGTTAAAAACGCAACGCGTGCTGCTTTGTTTATGGAGCTCCGTGCTAGAGTTCTGCTCCCGCGATTTATTCGGAAATTTATTCCCGCGCCGCAGAAATCTGGCGCGGGGACAGCCGCGGGAATAAATTTCCGAATAAATCGCGGGAGCGGTCGGTAACGGGTTTAATTTGGGACGGGAGCGGGCTGTCTAGCAATATCACGGATATTGCTATGCGAATTAGAAAGAGAGAGTTTGCTTGGTGCTTGTGTGTGTGTTAGTGCGCACGAGAGAGAGCGAGAGAAATAGAGAGAGAGCGAGAGAGAGCGAACGAGCTTTGTGTGCTGTGTGTGTGTGTTTATACAGACAGCTTGGCTGTCTGGACTGTATACTGGGTGATTTTTGGTTGTGTTCTCCTCCACTCTAGCGGGATCGGGCGCGGCGGGCAGAAAACGGAGCGGGTTCTCAGGCTAAAACCTGGCGGGTGCGGGCGGTAGCGTTGTCGTCCGGAGGTGTGTTTGTGTGTGGTATGGCGAGTACACGACTGTCTCCTTCGTTCGGTTATCCGTGGCACTATCCACTCGCCATAGTGTGGCAGCTAAAATCCACGCCTACACTATCGAGCGTGTATGAACTGTGATTACTTTTATATTGCTGATTAGCTTTTGGCCATTTCACTCTCTGACTGAAGGCAGTCGACCAATCGCGACAGACTGTCATCGGTCCAATCAGCGCAGATTAGCTTCGCGCTAAGGAGGGGTTTGGGAACAAATGAATCACTGGACGATTCATACAGGAGTCGCTGGGATAATTAGGTAAAAATAAATGCAGATTATAAGACCATGAAAGTGTTTTTTGACCTTGCATGCATATTAGACTGTTGTTGGAGACCCTTACAACCAAGATATGACCCTATTTCATGTATAATATGGGCTCTTTAATAGTTTGTAGTAGTCTTGAACACCTTAGTTGGATTAGGTGTGTTTAGAGTTCGAGCAATACTGCGCAGTGATGAGGCCCTCCAGGAATTGAGTTTAAGACCTATTGTGTAAACTAATGGCCTTGATTTTTCGTTTTCTACTGTACAGCTGTCTTAAAGGGGATATATAATGCTTTACAAGATGTAAAATAAGCGTCTGATGTCCCCAGAGTGTGTATGTAAAGATTCAACTCAAAATACCTTAAAATTCAAATGAGATTGTGCTTCCAGCCCACTTTTCAAAAGAGGAATAGCTACAATTGCCTGTGCATCAGCATAGTGGCAGATTTAAAGTAGAGCTAATGTTATCTCTGTTAAAAATGACTGTCAAAAGAAGTGGTTCAGAAGATATGTCTATGGAGGAAATGGAAATCTTCAGCAGGTGATGCTAAAACTCCAAATGTGAATGGCTGCTTTATGAAGTGTGATTACAAAATATTACATACACTACCGGTCAAAAGTTTGGGGTCAGTAGGATTTTAAAATTTTTTATTTTTAAAAAATTAAAATTTTTATTTTAAAATAAAGTTCTCCTGTCCACCAAGGCTGCGTTTATTTAATCAAAAATACAGTACAAATTGTAAAACTGTGAAATGTTATTGCACTATAAAGTAACTGTTCAAAAGTAGTTTTAGTTTCATTTAATAATTGATTCCAGTGATTTTAATGATGAATATTCAGCTTCATTACTGCAGTCTTCAGAGTCACATAATCCTTCAGAAATCACTCTAATATTAATTATTATTATTACTATTATTCATTCATTTTCTTTTTGGCTTAGTCCCTTTATTAATCCGGGGTCGCCACAGCGGAATGAATCACCAACTTATCCGGATGACCTTCCAACTGTGGGGGAAGCCACAAACTCCACACAGAAACGCCCACTGACACAGCCGAGGCTCGTCCATTATTATTCATTCATTCATTTTCTTGTCGGCTTAGTCCCTTTATCAATCCGGGGTCGCCACAGCGGAATGAACAGCAAACTTATCCAGCAAGTTTTTACGCAGCGGATGCCCTTCCAGCCGCAACCCATCTCTGGGAAACATCCACACAAACATTTACACACACACTGACACACTACGGACAATTTAGCCTACCCAATTCACCTGTACTGCATGTCTTTGGACTGTGGGGGAAACCAGAGCACCCGGAGGAAACCCACGCAAAGGCAGGGAGAACATGCAAACTCCACACAGAAACGCCAACTGAGCTGAGGTTCGAACCAGCGACCTTCTTGCTGTGAGGCAACAGCACTACCTACTGCGCCACTGCCTTGCCGTCAATTATTATTATTATTATTATTATTATTATTAATAATAATAATAATAATAGCAATAGTAATGATAGCAATAATAACTGGACTAATAATTTAATTTGAAACTACATACAATAAGAAAGCAGTTATTTTAAATTAATTAATTATTATAAAAAATTAATTAATTAATTATTATAAAAAATTTTTTTTACAATTAATAAACGCAAAATAACAAACTTTTGACCGGTACTCTATATTTATTTTTCATTAGAGGCTGGCTACATTCACACGCTGTTGCCAAACAACTGTGGTTGCCCTTGGTTTAGTTAAGATGGAATTTGTTAACGATCCATAATAATTTAATTTTACAACTTGAACTGAATTAACTATAAAATGTTTTTAAATTATCCATTGTGTAAAAAAATATGCCAGAGTAGTTGGTGGTTCATTCC